TGCTGCCATTCTAGGAACCGGCTGTCATAACGGCCATTACTGCAATCAAGTCTGCAAACCTGAGGCTGTTTGCTAAATCCTGCACTCAGCGGCTACAAATGTTGCCATTCCCCTTTTCCAAAAGCCTGTTATAATCTGCTTCTAATTGAGAGTCCTTTGGCAATATTACTTGTTTTCCTCCAGATGTACACATTATTTCCAGTTAACAAGAGTTTGTTTGCTTTTTTTTTTGGTGCTAGAAACCTTTGCGTATTCATATTGACTGTTTTGACAAGGGCACCCTGATATTTGCAGCTTATTTTGAGAAGACAGCACTATTTATCCAACAACTGTTCAAACTGAACCAAGAAGGGTGGAAGTGCCACACAGATATGGACTGGATCATTATAGATTGCTCAGTCATTTCTGATCTTGATTCTCCTACCCTAGAAAGTGAGCAACAAATGTCATGTGATCCATTTTTATTGCATTGCTATGTTTTTCCTTCATTCATTCCAGAGACACTTGTGTGCTTGTTGAATGGCAGATGGTATCATTCAGAAACCCTTTGTTTTCAGGTGCATAAGGATTTATTTATCTATTTTGCTTCCTGGGGGAAATGCATAAATACAGGGCTTTGTTGATTTGTATCTCCTTAAAGTCATAATTGTAACTCTTTCCACAATTTCTTTTTTATTTTTTACTGTTTATTACTACAGTTCTCACCTGGGGAGGGATTTTTATTTATGCTACTAATTTCAGTTCATTGTTCTCTATATTTTAAATTCTATTATGGAGTTCTCCACCACCTCCCTGTAAACCACCTTGAGGGGGGTTGTCATTTCGCCTTGTAAAGCTGTATAAAAATACTTTTTAAATGGGGGGGGCGAATGGTGTGTGTAAATACACAGTACATCACTTAATAGTATAAAAAAAAGATAGCAAACATTGCAAACTGCATATGGTGCAATCCATCAAACACTGTTTCTATGCAAGCCTCACTGAATAACAAAATCAATCCAAATTTTAGGAAGCCAGCATAATTTACATTGGGATAAATTATGCTAGTGTAATTTACCCCTGTTCCAAACTCCGCTCAGGAGCAGGGTTAATGCTGGCTGAGCCAGCCCGAGTGTGGGTAGGGGGGGGACAAAACATTTGTTTTGACTTGTTTTTAATACTGCGTTTTAATGCTGTAACCTATCCTAGGACCTTAGGATGAGGGGCAGCAAATAGTGTTTGGCTTGCGGCACTCTTTTGACTATTATAAATTCTGCTGAGTTACTAGGTCACATGACCAAGCTAAACAAAGTTTGGAATAAGTTTCCCTCTGACCCACTCTTGCAATGCCCTTGCCACTCCCCTGGCACACACTTTTTTTGAGACATGCTCCCACCATGACTCAATTTAGAATTAAAAAAAGCCTTTAAAAACGTTTTTCTCTTTCAATATTGTGACTAAAGATTCCAATTCATCACGAAATACAGTAAGTTAAGAGAAATTTAGAATATATGGGATCCTGATTCAGAGTGAATATTTGGCCGGGTCATCTGTGAGAAGTAGCTTACGATGATGTAGTCTAGTCATAACTGAGCATGTAACCTACACAACAGAAACTGTATTTTATCCACCTCTCTAACACTGGAAGCATTTTTTATTCTGGACATTTATTTTATCCCCCACTAGGCTATGTTTATCAAACTAGGCAATACCACAGCTTTTTATTTTAAGGGGGAACATCAGGATCATTTTATTTCCCCTATAAACTTCATGTTCCCTGGAGGCATCTAATGTTGGTTTGGAGGTTCTAACAGCTATAATAGGGCCAATTCTGTTAGAATAAAGTCAACAAATATTTGCTCAGTTTTAGAAAATGAATGTGTGGCCCACTTTGTGAATAATTGTGCAATTGAGTTTTGCTTGCATGAATGGTGTCAGAAGTTAAGACTAAGCCGGCACATTCAGATGCTTTCAGACAGAAGACATGGAAAACATAGATTGCTGTACAAGACTAGGGCACAGCTTTATAGAAGAAGAGAAATGTAGCTTGAAGCACAGATATTTTAAATGGTCAGAAGTCTTGAACTGAGACTATTTGGAGAGGTGGAGAGAATTTGCCTTTGTGGCTATAATCCTGCACAGATTTATTAATGGGATTTAGGCAGCCTGGCTGTGCAGAGAGTGGCAGTCAAGAACTGCATTTGTAATAACTTTGCCTGACTGTAAAGGCTGAAATGTGAGCACTGGCCTTGCCAATCACAGACCCTCCAAGCGTCTGTTTTCCAGGGACAGTCCTAGATTTACAGAAGCTGGCCCAGTTCCTGATTTCATCCCAGGATGTGTTGCTTTTCCTTAGAACATCCCTATTTTCAATTAAGAAATGTTGGAGGATATAGTTGTCTGACCTCCCTGAACCACCCGAGTGGCTGGGGCAACCCAGTCAGATGGGTGGGGTATAAATGTTGTTTGTTTGTTGTTATGGAATAGGAGAAGTGTTGGAGGGTATGCAGTCAGATACACAAATCTACCTTATGTGTATGAAAATATGCCAAAGAATTCTGTATGAAACCGAGCAAGGAATTGCTCTTCTGATTTAAATATTTATTCAGTCTTATTTGTCTACAACATTTCTTGAGACATTCTAAGGCCTGGTTGAGGCGTTATACCATGGCTCCCAACTGTCTGTGCTTTGTTAGAACAGAAAGAAGAGGAGGAGGAGTTTGGATTTGATATCCTGCTTTATCACTACCCGAAGGAGTCTCAAAGCGGCCAACAATCTCCTTTCCCTTCCTCCCCCACAACAAACACTCTGTGAGGTGAGTGAGGCTGAGAGACTTCAGAGAAGTGTGACTAGCCCAAGGTCACCCAGCAGCTGCATGTGGAGGAGCGGAGACACGAACCCAGTTCACCAGATTACGAATCTACCGCTCTTAACCACTACAAGCAATGAGCTCAAACACTCCCTCCTCCTCTCTTATGCAATGACTTAAAGTTTCCCATAGAATCTAAACCAGAAACTTGTGGTTTAAGTGTGCCTAGAAGCCAAACTATGGTTTTAATGTATTGTTTGGAAACCAGGACTGTAGGCAGTGCTTAAACCATAGTGTCCCTGTTTTGGTATCATAGAAAACTGATCTAACAAACCGGGAAGCCTCTTCTCAAGCTGGCCAGATGACAGAACAGGAGGGCTGAAGAGCACTTCCGTGGCTTTGCTTGCATGCCATACGAAACCCTAGTTTGTAACAAACTCACGTTTAAGGTGACTGAGCAGCGTGCTTCTGCATACTGCCCCAAAGCTCCCATGGTGTCGCTTCTGGATGTTGCTGCAGACAAAGCAAGCCAGGGTCTGGCTTGTCATGTGCTCCAAACCTGAGCTCATAGTTTGCTTTGCTTTGCTTTGCTTTGCTTTGCTTTGCTTTGCTTTGCTTTGCTTTGCTTTGCTTTGCTTTGCTTTGCTTTGCTTTGCTTTGCTTTGCTTTGCTTTGCTTCATACAAACCCACAAGTGGTAGCTAATATTTGTCCTTACCTCGCTGCTCATGTTTTTTGGGGGGGAGGAAGCAAAGCATGAGCCCGGGTTCAGAAATCACAAGAAGCCAAACTCTGGCTTGTTTTGGCTGCAGAATGGTAGCATCAGAAATTTTTGCCACCGTGCATCAGTACATTAGATTATAGTTAGTCCTGTCCCCATGCAAAACTGGTATGAACCAGATACTGATGAGTCTATCCAACCCTATCTCAGCCTCTTCAGAACCTACATGGGTTAGAAACCATAAAACATCAGGCTAGTGAGATACAGTAGTTTTCATTTGAAATGTTGGAATTATCAAGGCACCCAGCAACAGGAAAGAAACAAGTACATTTTCTATATACGCACAGATTCTCCAGCCCAATGCATGTTTTATTACTGTGCAGCTGAGCAACCTCTTCTGTGTGGTCAGAGGTCCAGCTGAAGTACTTCTGTATGCTAGAGGCAATCATGCCGCTTGCTTAGATCTCACCGGATACTTTCCACATCTGCTCCTGTGGAGGCTTTGCACTGACATGGAAATATTTCAGTGGGTGGGAGCCCTACACGGCTGCCACTCATTAAGAGAAGAGAAGAGCCCTGCTGGAGCAGACCAAAGGCCTGTCTAGTCCAGCATTCTGCTCTCACATTGGCCAATGAAAGCCCACCAGCAGGACCGGAGCACAGGAGTTCTCTCCCACTGTTTCTCTCTGGCAACTGGTACTCAGAGGAATATTTTTGAACACTGAGCCTCAGCTGCAGAGGTTTTAACTTCTAAATCCTGCCTCAACTAATTATTCTAGAGCTGCTGAAATCCTGCTGTCAAGGAGCAGGCCAGCAATAAAACACCCAGCGCTAGCGAAGTTAACCCAAAGAAACCCAAACTCTGCAGGCCTAGTGATCGCAGCAACTCTTCCCTGTGGATCTTACCCCAATAAGGCATTTCTGAGGACTGAAAGTCCCACCTCCCCACCACTCTCCAAGACTCCTTCCCCCATCCACCTGAGGCTCCTTCACCTTGTCTCTCTTTCCTCCACCCTCTTCCATCCTCTCCATGGCCTTGGAGACGAGGGGAGCTGGTCACAGCAGGAGCGGGGTCACTCGCTTCTTCAGCAGCTTGCCCCCACTCCTCTTCAGCCTCCACTTCGGCTTCCGATTTTAAACCACTCTGCCCGACTAAACCCTGTTGCCTCTTCCGCTTCGGACATCACCTCCTCCCAGTCTGCTCCCTCTTCTCCCTCTGTGTCGTTCCACCACTAATCCCCTGGCTCTGAGACATCTTTCCCCTAGGGGTTCTCCATCTGGTGCTTTCCACCACGCCTCTGCATCCAGCTAGCCCACGACACCGTCCTATTGAATTCAATGGTGCTTTCTCTCAAGTAAGTGGGATTAGGATTGCAGCCTAGCACTACCTGGGAGCTTCCTCTGTAGCACCCTCTCTCCAGTGTCCCTGCAAACGGGCTCCCTTCCCTGCCCCCTGCCCCTCTCTTAGTTAGAGGTAATAAAATCACTTACAGCTTTCCAGTTGCAAGGTGCACGTCTGTTTGTCCATAGGGTATTTAGTCAAATCCATACTACAGGCAACTGTTGTAGTTATCCTTTAAAAGCAAAGTACAGATGGTTACCATCCATGCATCATACTGAGCACTGAAAATAGAAACAAATTATCCTACTTATTTGAGCTTTTTTAAAAAAGGCAAAACATATGGCTAGGGGGGAAAGATCGGCTGATGTTTTTTGTCAAAAGACAGCTAGGGAATAAAGATGCGAAATTATTAACTCCTTTACACCCCACTTCATTCTGGATCTTAGCAAAAATGAGACGGTGGAAAACAAAAATGGTTAAAAACAAATGCAGTGCATGAAGGTAAGAAAATGGCAGTATTGTAAGTTAAAAGGCGTAAGCAGCAGCCCAAAAAATGGAAGAAATATTTAACATCAAAGGTTTGTAGTAGTGATAATAATAATAATAATAATAATAATAATAATAATAATAATAATAAAGCATGCTGCCTAGGTTACCCCAGGGACTCTGGGAGGCTTCACCCAGAATAAAAATGTATTCAACTCACATCTGGAGGAAACCTGATAGATCTTCACTGGGAGGGCATTTCATAATGATGGCACTACTGCCCTGTCTCTTGGGCACAATGTCTCACAATGGTTTGAGTGCTGAACTCTGGCCTGGGAGACCAGGCTTCAAATCATTAGGTGACCTTGGGCCCATCACTCCTCAGTCTAACCTGCCTCACAGGGTTGTTGTGGGGGATCGAATGGGGAGGGGGGAACCATGCCCACCACCTTGAGCTCCTTGGAAGTGAAAGGTGGTATATAAATGGAATAAATAAAATAGAAACCATGCAAAATTACAGTACAGTCACCATCATCTCCCTTTGTCTCAGCACCCTACTGCAGCTTCTCCCAACTTGGTGCTCACCAAAAGTTTTGGATTACAGCCTCAGGAGACCCAGCAAGTGTGGAGAATGCCCGGGAATGATGAGAACTGTAGTTTAAAACATCAGGAGGGCACCAGGTTGGGAAAGGCTGATATACTGTAACTGCTTGTGTTTGCGCAATTGAAACAACAGCATATTTTCCTGTCTATCCCTGTCTTCATTTCCCTTTCTATGTTGCTTTGCTTTTTGTCTATAGTAAATGTATTTTTTAATTAGTTGAATTGGGATTTACTAAAAATCCCAATTCAACTAATCTGAAGAAGTGTGCATGCACACGAAAGCTCATACCAAGAACTAACTTAGTTGGTCTTTAAGGTGCTACTGGAAGGAATTTTTTTTTGTTTTGACTATGGCAGACCAACACGGCTACCTATCTGTAACTGGGATTTACTAGATTGATAGATGATAGATGATAGATAGATGATATATGATAGATGATAGATAGATAGATAGATAGATAGATAGATAGATAGATAGATAGATAGATAGATAGATAGATAGATGATAGATATAGATAGATAAAGCGCTTCAGTTGGAATTGCTTCTCTTCCCTTTTTAGATCCTGAAAAAGGTTACCCCAATTGTACAGAAACAAATTTTGAAAATAGTTTATAATATTTTGATTCATCTGCTCTGGCCATCAAAGTGAGAAGGATGTCAAGGCAACACAGTCCTCGCTATGAACTGCCTTCATGACATTATCAGCTAGTCAGATCTTACTGGCCATGTGACATTGTCAATCATCATCACACTGGCTATGTAATCCCATATTGTTGGCTTCACACATGCAGCATGAAGCAATCCCTGTTTTCTTCCTTTTAAAAAGATGGTGCCAGAGGATTTACTGATGAGGCAGTGAACCTCTGAACTTGAAAAGAGGTCACAATTCATTCTAATCAATCTCAGAGGGCTCTTTGAAAAAGCACTCTTTGGGCAATGAGCATACCTTATGGCATAAAGGACTGTTCCATTGGGATATATTCTTATTAGACGGTTTTCAACTGTGATATCATGAAGAAAAGACTTTTTTGAGTCCACTATAAAGGTGTCTGGTACCCAAAGCATCTCCACAAGGCGGCCATCTAAGCTTAAGCTCTTGTTACCCTCAAAACAAAGGCGTTCATCAGTCCATCGTTGTCTTAGGAATATGGTAGCTGTGTAATCCTGGGAAGAGAGCACAGTTTAAAACAGACAGCTAACTAAATACATTATAGCATACATACCCCTTTTGTTTGATCTGCTATATGTATAGAAACAACAACTATTATTAACTCATAGCAGTTTCAAAAAGGATAGGTTCTCAAAGGCAACTCACTACATGCCTTTTGTGAGTGAAATGCTGTTCTCGCACAGCACTGGATACAAGCTTAGCAGTATGAATTAAAATGGCCATGTTGCCCCAAAGTGTTTTAGTGAGGTGTTTTGTTTTGTTTTTTTAAATGATATTGGTTCCTTATTCTGAAAGTCTAGCATAGATGCTGGAAGCAAAAGGAGAACGAATGAGTTTCCTGTTATACTTTATACAATATGAAGTAAGAAAAAAAAATACTACTATACCATGTTTATTTCCGATATTGTGTCAATGCTTGCTATATCCATACTCATTCCTACGGAGACAGGACCATCTGAAATAGATGCACAAACATAACACACAATAAAATTAACATTCAGTCTATAGCAAGGGGTTGTGGTCTTTGTTTCGGTACTGAGAGTTCATTATGCAGTGGCAGATTACACGAGACTGGAGCTAAAAGCAGGACTTCCAAGGTCAGTTTTCCTGAGGGAGAAAGATTAGTCTCACAGGAATTTCTGTGGGCCAGAGGTGGTCTCGGAGCAAACATGTGAAGACAATTGAGCACATTTTAGAGTTGTTTAGCCAGCTTTAGCAGTTTCACTGGGTAGGGCTTCCTATATAGGAAACAGTGCAGAAATCCCTATATCACAGAAATAAAGTGCACTGTATCCATTTGGAAATAGAATGCACATCAAAAATTGGACATTAAGTCCAAATTTATTTATTTTTAAAAATACTGATGTTAGTTTAGCAAAGATGTTTAATACTAAAATCATATAATGACTTGGGGGGAGGGGGTCTGTTTGATTCAATCCAGAAAGAATTAATTTAATCCTGTTCATTAATTTCAGTGTGGGTCTACTCTGTGTAAAACACTCGGTATATGCATCCTTCCATGTTTGTGAAATCTTCAGCAACCTTGCTGTTATTTAAGTAATTCAAAGAAATGCTGTCCACTTTTCTGCAGTTTTGGGAATGATATAAAATTGATGAAACTGCAATGAGGGTCCCCTTCCCTCCGTGACTTGCATCCTTCTGCTTCATCCAGATGTCCATTGATGGTGCAATTGCTTCTGGGTTTGGCATGTGAACAACTTGCAAATGTGTCTGAGGAATTATTCTTCAGAGTTTAGTCTTATTACAGAAGAGGTCTTTTCAAATTTAGTCCAAGCAATTCACCTTAAGACGGGAGGAGTGGATACTGTTTGAAAATTTTCGATATTTAAAGAAAAAGAAAACAGTTGCCACATTTAGTGAAGCTAAATGAACTTTGCATCTCAATAGATAAGATTTCCAGGTAACTAGTCATGCAAGTCAGCTGCAGCAAAAACAAGAGGCTTCATTTGAATGTAATGATAAACTGCAGTTTATCACTATGGCAATGAGCTCAGGCAAACTTTGGGTTCCCCTTTCTTCTTCCTTCAGCATGGCCACTAGGAGCACACTGAAAGCTTCCTTTCTTTTTTACAAATAACAATTTGCCCTTTTGTCCAGATATGGACAAAATTTGGTTAGCTTTAAGTTGTTTTAATGAAACAATCCAACTTCAAACCTTGGTTTATGAAGCTGGTTTATTCCAGTAAACCATAGCTAAGATCAGTGGCATGTGGTGAATTTTTTCATAGGGGAAAAATTAGGGCCAGAGGTGCCAGCTTGCAAGGGTGTGTGAACATCACACCTCCTTCTCTAAGCTGGGCAGAAGTTTCCTGGGCTTTGGGAAGGAAGCACCAGGGGGACTAGCCTAGTCCCTCTAGTCCACTGATCTCACACCACTGACTAAGATCAACCACAGTTTAGGGTGAAAAGTTCCAATCTCTTTCTTGGAGAGAAGGAAGGGGGAGGCATGCATGGCAGAGACTTACCTGGGCTCATTCCCATAACAATAAACCACATTTAGCATTATGTCCAGTCGTAACCAGAGAGTCTTGTTGCACCTTAAATACATAATCATCTTCTTCACCAAACCTTTATTAGGCATTACAAATAAAGGCTATCATAAAACATCCATATATAAAAATTTGAAATATATACAAATAAACAGCCATGTAAAAATATGTAACGAGGATTTTCATTTGAATTTCTTCCTGCCATTCACCACTCTATGCGATACTATTGATAAAAACTCAGTAACCTTGCAGTTACTTCCGGGTTAATGTCATACAGATAGAATCTGATATTTTCATTGTGCTGTGATGTTAGACTACCCAAAAAAGAAGATAGCTTGCATTTGCGTAGCTGGTTGTACAATGGACAGTAGAAAAGAATGCATTCTACTGTGTCTGGCACATTCAAAGAAGATCCGCAATGTCTATTGTTTCTGGGGATGCTTAAATATCTGCCCTTGACAGAAGCTGAGGGGGAAACGTTCAGTTGGGCTAACATAAAGGCCCTGCATTGGACTGCAATTGTTAATTTTGAAATACAAGTGATCCTGTTATCTGATGTATTTAAACCATAGAACTTGGGAGAGCAAATTTTATTTACAGCTGGCTTGATGTTTTGTTTTTCAGTGTCCCTTAATCGGATTTGAATATTGCAATAAATTGATTGCTCACTTGAATTATGCAAGAGTTCCAAGTCAATACCGATAGATCTGATTTTGCTATGTAAGAGCTGAAACCATCTGGATTTATAAGAATCCTTAAGTCAGAGAGCAGACTCAAAGGTTGGCAATGGAAATGGCAACGCAACCACAGTATTCTATAGTGCTAGCCTACACCCAATATTCCATTGTGTGTATACCTAGTTCTGCATACATTGCCCCTTACTTGATTGGACTTGGAAGCCCCAGGATACGTCTCAAGAAACTTGACTGTATCTTATCTAAATCCCTATTATATGCTTGTATCCATACTGGGATCCCAAAAAGTATCTGGGATGACACTTTAGCTTGAAAAATTTGAATAGCAGCTGGTATAAATTGGTTACCTTTCTGAAAATAAAAGCAAGCTACCAACCTGAGTGCCACAACCAGAGAGTCTTGTGGCGCCTTAAATGCATAATAACGGTTGTAAGTCTTCAAGACTCTTTGTTGTATCTGATTGATAAAATGATTAAATGTGTTGTAATAAAATAACCAGATAACATATGCAAGATTTATTCCTCTAATGGTAAACTGGTAAAATTTGACCAAATTGTAAAAAAGATTGATCCCAAGATCCTTGAGCTTACCTACTGCATCATTAAGGGAAGTTTTTGAAATTATTCTTGCCTCTCTCCAGTAGATGGCAATAGAAAACTATTCCCTTTTCCCATCTTTGGAAGGCCAGAGGGCTAAACCAATAAAGGTTAAATATCTTACTATAGATGTGAATGCTTTATTTTGCAATGAATACTGGATTAATATGTATAAAGTGGAAATTATTACTTTTATTCAATCTAATGAATAAAACAGTTTTGCAATGAAATATCATTTGATGAGAGACAAGGATGCATAGAATGCGTTGAAGCTCAACTAGAAATTTAACATATTTTACTAGGCACTACACCACACTAAGGTTACTTCCAATGCAAAGTGAAGATTATGTTTAAATGCCCCAGAATTCTGTTTTATGCCATTGCACATCATCAGCTTCTTCAAATAGCTCAATAAAATATTAGGCAATGGTGGTAGGATGTTTAGAACTGAGCATTCTAATGCAGTCATCTGCTTCTGCAACCCACACTTTTAACTTCTTGTTTTAAAAACTGAAGGTGAAGAGCCAACAGTTTCACATCCAAATTTCCCACGAAACCAGGGATTCTGCTGTAGATTCTGCTTTGGCAGCAAAGCCAGCCAAATCTTGAAATTCAGCATACCCTGAGATGCAACCTGTTCAGCCTGTGCTGTGTTTTGTTGTTCCATATTTCATTCTCTGTGTTCAGAGCATCTGTCTCCCAGGGCAACAGGGGGGAGGAAAATCAGCACCAAAACATCTGTCTCTACTTTAGTCTAACTCATTTCACAATTATTTAAAAGGAGGGGTTTAACGTGGAGCCCAGTGCATCCCTCAGTAGTTGTAAATGATGTTCAGCAACCCACTTTAAAGTAAACATACCATTCTAAATTATTAACTGGGTAGATGGTATAAAACTGTATTACTCCCAAGCATCTAATATACCTATACGAAATTTGATCATTATTTATAATTATGCATAATGCATAATTTGGAGCATATAGCAAGGATTTGGTTGTTGTTTGAAGCTGCTGCTGCACAGCTGAAGAAGCAAACTGGATACTTTCTCCTCAGTCTTTTTATGGTTTAAATACACGCAGAGAAGTGGGTTCTTTTTCAGCAAACGGGAATAAAAACAACCTCTGGTTCTTCAGCATTTCCAACTATTATTTTTACTAGGCACTCTGGTACCACTTGAAAGTGCACAAGGAGCCGGTGGTGTTCCCTAGAGATCTAAATTATGAAACATGTCACTGTTATGACAGGGCTGTAGAGGTCATAAGTTAACACTAAAACAGTCTATATAGTACGGACGATAGCAGACAACACATTTCCCTTCTAGCACATGGCTGGATTCCTTCTGATATCTGGATCTTCTTAGTTAGCGAATGTGTTCTTTGCACCACGGGCTCCTCAATTCCTTCTGCACTTTGCTTTTGGGCCATTATAAATAAGAATCTTGACTATACAGGCCGGTCTGTCACTTCTGTTAGATATGGCAGATCATAGTTCGGTATCACAGGGACAGAGCTAACCCTTCAGGTTCCTTCTAAACCCTGCAGCTTGGGAGATAGAACAACCTTTTAAAATGACACGATGCTGCCAAAGATACAGGACTGAAAAGGCTTTAATTGTGGTTTCATTTCTCATTTTTCAGTTGTTGTCTAACTCTCAGAAGAGCCTATTCCCATCAAAACTTTTTTTTCTACTTACTGTCAAAAAATGGTCGCAGATACTTGTTATATCCTTTCATTATTTTCTGTATGGTTGGAGGAAGAATTTCACCCTTTTCTTCAGCCGGAGAAACTTGTGTTAATCTAACCAGGAAAAAGAGCAGGGAGTTTATTCTCAGGCTATTGTCACAGACGAAACGTTGTGCCAAATTTCTAACACAGAAGTTGTGTTGCTTTTCCATCTCATAATGTCTACATGCAGCAAAAGCATTTCCCAAAATGCCAGACTTGATAAAGCTTTAATCCCCCAAGGAGCGGAATCTGCCGGTTTTATATCTGGCCCAAATTTGGTACAACTGCCCTGATAGCTGAATGAATTTCTAAAGTGTTCAGAGTTTGCTTACCGTTTCTGCAAGATACATAATAGTAGGTAGGCTTTTTCCCATCTGATAAAATGAAGTTTATTTTTATATACCATGAAATCTGCTTAGTCAAATTTCCCCAAGGGATAAAATGCATCAGAAAATATTTTTGCATGCCACAGCTGTTCTCTGCACCCCAACCTGGTGTCCTCCAGATGTTTTGCTCTACAGTTCCCATTAGCCCCAGCCAGCATGGTCAATGGCCAGCAATGATTAGAGAGTTGTATGCCAAAATGTCAGAAGAGCACCAAGCCGATCTACAGTTTCCATTTCCAGAACAACAATGAATTTTGTCCTGGTACAGACAAGTTACTATAGTGATCAGGTATGAGCTGTGGCAAAACTAGGCCTCATACACTCCTGAGTTCAGAGTTGCCCAAACTTGGGTCTCCAGCTGTTTTTGGACTACAATTCCCATCATCCCTGACCACTGATCCTGCTAGCTAGGGATGATGGCAGACCCAAGCTTGGGAAACCCTGCCTTACTGTATAATAGGAAGAGAACGAAAGATTCTACTTGCACTTAGAACCAGTAGCTATATTACGTTCAAACCCAGATATCTACGGTTTGTTCTGACTATATTTAGTTAAAGCAAATGATATCCAAAAGTTATCTCTAAGAGCCCTGATGTTTATTTCAATGACATAGTATCCATGTGTATATTTGGGGGAATAACCCATATGCATGTAAACCTGTATGTGTACTGATGATTATCACATATATATCAAAATCTAAATTATGATACAGGAAGTGCAAATATACCTCTGTGTCCTCTTTGCACTGACCTTAGGCAGGCCAGTGGATCCAATTGGTTCTCATGTAATAAAGATATCACCTTTGCAACCTGGTGCACAAATAATATGAAACTTCATCCCATAATCCACTTGATCTGCTGGTCTGTCTATTGAGTGCGCCCCCTGAAAAACCCACCTCCACAGTTGCCTGTGCAGGGATGATGTTCCCTATCACAACATACAAATCAGATGCAATTATTGTTGACAGGTATCTGAGGATAAAAATTCAAATGTGATAAAATCCTGCATAGTTTATGAAAGCAGACAGCTAGGGAGCAATACCTTGAAACACAATCCTGCTCTGCAAACATTTCATTCACTCGCAAAGAAAATTAACATGCGTGTACCATGCCCTGCCATGGAACGCATGACTGAACAGATTTGATTGTTTCCAAATTAGGTAGTAAAATTCTTTAGGCAGGAACCACTTTTCTTTGCATGTTTCTATAGTGACTAGCATAGTATATTCAAGCAAAGGCACATTTAGCTGAAGTCAGAGAACAGGAAATCTGCAATCATTAACATTAGATGCGTAGAGTTTAGTTATAAAGGACAGGAACAGAATGATACCAAAGGAAACCAGTGTGGATCAGCTGCCAAGACTGAAAGTCCTCATCTCCCCATAGCCATCTATATCCTCTTCTCTTCAGGGCTTTCCCCAAGCAATCAGAGACTGCGCCTGCATGAAGCCTGCCACTGCTCTGCCCATTTCAGCCATCTTCTGGAGATGGGAGGAGGGCAGCTTGTCGCAGCAGGAAGAGGAGACACCTGTGACTCTTCACCAGCCTAACTCATCTCTGTCTCTTGGCCTCCCTCCTCTCCAGCCTCTGATTCTGGACTCCCCTCTGCCACAGACTCTCCCAGCTCACTAAGCCCTGTTACTTCTTCAGCTTCTGACACCTCCTCTTCTCCCTCTGACCACTCATCGTTGTCCCACCACCACTCCCTGGGCTCTGAGTCTTTCCCCCCTGGGGTTTCCCTAGCTGGTTTTCCCCACCACTCCTCTGTGTCCAACCAGTCCATAACAGCAGCAGTGATGCTTGCCATACAGAAACCAGGTATGCAATGCAACCCCTCCTTCGCTGCTCCACCAAACACTACTGGGCATAATAAGAGCCCCACTGAACCAGACCAAAGCTTCACAGTGGCCAACCAGATGTCTATGGGAATCCCACAAGTGGGACGTGAACAATTAACAGCTTTCTCCGTAGTCCCTCCCTAACAACTGGTTGTTGTTTAGTCGTGTCCAACTCTTCATGACCCCATGGAACAGAGCACGCCAGGCACTCCTGTCTTCCACTGCCTCCCACAGTTTGGTCAAACTCATTTTAGTAGCTTCGAGAACAGTGTCCAACCATCTCATCCTGTCGTCCCCTTCTCCTTGTGCCCTCAGTCTTTCCCAACAAATGGTAAAGGTAAAGGGACCCCTGACTGTTAGGTCCAGAGGTGGCCGACTCTGGGGTTGCGGCGCTCATCTCGCTTTACTGGCTGAGGGAGCAGGCGTACAGCTTCCGGGTCATGTGGCCAGCATGACTAAGCCGCTTCTGGCGAACCAGAGCAGCATATAGCCACCATGACTAATAACTGGCATTGGCACAGTCCATGATGGGTAGACACAAAAACTACTGTCCCTCTGTTAATGGAGACATCAGCTGTGCAAAAGAGGGAATCGCTTATTAGTTTGACTAGTGAAAAGACAGTAGAAGCTCGGGTTGCGAATGTAATCCATGCAGGATGCATGTTCGCAACCCACAGTGGCACGTCTGCGCATGCGCGGGTTGCGATTAGGCACTTCTGCACATGCGCAAAGTACGATTTAGCGCTTCTGTGCATGCGCGGCCGCCGAAACACAGAAGTAACCCATTCTGGTACTTCCGGGTTTCGGCGGGTCCATAACCCGAAAAAACACAACCTGAAGCATCTGTAACCCGAGGTATGACTGTAATGGGATTTCCTGACCACCTTTCCCTATTCTATTAGTGAATAATACAGTTGCAAAGTGGAAATCTGGGGAAGCACCTCCCCCCTCTCTCTTGGAAAGCCCCAAGGGAGGATCCTGACACGACTTCTCTTCCTCTGCTTCCCCACCTCCGCATCTGCCTGTAGTGGGTGAAAATGAGGATCTTGATGGGAGGGGCAGGTGGGTAATGGGAGTCAAAGGAGGAGCAAGAGAATCTGAGGGGGCAGGCCTGATCAAAGAAGCTGTAGAGACAGGCAGCTCCTTGCAAGCTCTCCACCTCCCAAGTTTCATTGTCTTGAAATGCCCCAATAACCTTTTGCTCCCACCCCAAATGATTCTGCATGCACAGAGGAAGAATGCAACAAGCGCCGTCTCTTACCTGCATAGTATCATTAGGGAAAGGGCTTTGAAACCCCAGCTCGAGGTGTACATCATTGGAGCTGGCTCCAAAAATAAAATCTTTTTCTTTCCTAAAAGCAAACGAAGCAAAAGCCTTACTCACAGAGCACTGTGAAGAACACAGAGAGTCTTAACAGGTTACATGAGGTTACCAAGGGTGACTTCAAAAAAGAAAATAAAAAAAGGATCACTGGGGAAATTGCAGATAGTAACATTACTTAATCCTGACAGAGTTCAGAGGGGATTAGCTTAATCCAATTTTGCAGGTTTGTGTTTTACACTTCGGTCCTAAACGGAAGCAATTCCCTTTTATTTAAGTTGAACTTTAAAGCAGGGGTAGGAAACAGCTGGAATGTGGGCCATATGTAGCCCTCCCCACCTGAAATGCATTATCCCCTCCTTGCTCTCTCCTCTCACTGCAATTAGGCTTGAAAAAAGTTTTCTACTGGAGTCACAGCTTTCCCTCTCTAGTAGGCTTCTCTTTCTTTCTTTCTTTCTCTCTCTCTCTCTCTTTCTCTCTTTCTTCCTTTCTCCACCAATAGTAGTGAGAATGGCTGCTGTTTTGTCTAACCCATGGGTAGCCAAACTAAGGCCCGGGGGCTGGATCCGGCCCAATCGCCTTCTAAATCCGGCCCACGGACGGTCCGGGAATCAGCGTGTTTTTACATGAGTAGAATGTGTGCTTTTATTTAAAATGCATCTCTGGGTTATTTGTGGGGCAAAGGAATTTGTTCTTTCCCCCCCCCAAAAAAAAATATAGTCTGGCCCCCCACAGGGTCTGAGGGACAGTGGACCAGCCCCCTGCTGAAAAAGTTTGCTGACCCCTGGACTCTAACCGCCCTGACACTCCTGCAGTTGGGAGACTCCAGGCTGATTCTGTGTTGTCCCTTAATGAAATATCCTCAGGGCAACTTAAAAAAAACCCCAAAAAACCTGAAACACCATCTTTTCAGATGATAAGCAATAAAATATAACACAGAATAGTCCAATAGCACCTGGAGTGTCAGATTCCTTCCCTGATCTAGTCCAAAATCCCCCACTTGGTTAGTTAGGCAACAGACCTCTCATTTGTCCACAACGTCTGTTTTGCAGGTATATGCTGCCTCTGTACATGAAGCTTTAATTTCCCTATCCTAGATAATGCCTTCCAATAGATCTATGCTTCATAAATTTGTCTAATTCCCTTTTGGAGCCACGGAAGCTACTTGACCAACAACTATAGCTCTACCTCAATAGCTTCTTTCTTTAAATAAAAAAATACAAAAATACTAGTGTGACCTTGATTAACTTATAGTCCTCCAGATAAGGACTTGATTTTACTGACAATTGCCTTTTTCATCAGAAGACCAACAATTTCACCCTCAGGTGTAAGAAGTCCCTGTTCTAGCCACTTTTACATTTTTGCCTTATTAGCTAGCCAAAGAACATTGTCTATTTGACAAGGAGCTAATCCTATGCATTTTCAGTCAGAAGTAAGCTGTGTTCAGTTTAATGGGGCTTGCTCTGAAGAAAACATGCATGGAATAGCAAATTTAGTTCTTCACAAACTCTTCCCAAGGGAGGGGGCAGATATGGGGACCAGTGGAAACACAATACGAAGCATTTATTTACCTTCTCTCCCTAATCCTTCACCAATACTCCTTGAACACCTTTGTTGCCTAACAGTAACCACTTCCCTTAATAAACTAGAGTCCCCAGGATTCTCGGGGGGGGGGAGTTCGCTTTAAATGTATGATGTGTGTGCATCCCTAGTCCAACTGATCAGCTGCCATAATTTTCTGTGTGCTCGCTGGCAACCTAGGCCCTGTCCCCACTCTGAGCTATGAAATAATTACCCTGAGGGAGGAGTTGTCCTGGTGTTCTCCAGCTCCTGTCAGCTTTCTACAAGTTTATTTTATTCAGAACAATTCATAAATGCTTCATCATTGGGGGCGGGAGGCATTCACACACACACACACACACACACACACACACCCCATACGATTCCCCAGAAAGCCACAGCATGTTATGATGTGTGGTCACTTCCTGAGACCATTTAATTTAAAAAAAAATAAAATTACCTCATGGACATGGTGAAGTTCAAGCAACCAAAAGTGTTAAAAGGAAAAGCACCAGAATATCAGAGCAAGATTTTTCAAGGAAGTAACAGCTTTTGTGAATAGTGTTGTTGAATTGAGATGAACAAAACAGCCTACTTCCATCCCATTTCAGCTTCTCTTTCATGCAAAAACAGGTCCATGCCGTCTTATTTTCACGTAGGTTTTATTTTTTATTCTAAAAATCTAGAGTTCTCCAAAAAAAAAAAAAAGCAGGTGATTATGAGGTGTTTGGAGCACTACCTCCATTTCCTCTACACAGAAGCGGTTTTAGGGTACCATGACTGGTTCAGCTGCCCTAGGCCCCGGATTCACAGAGGGCACCACAACAATGTTGTAGAGTGGAGTGCAAGAGGTGGAGAGCACAGAATTTAAGCATCGCACAAGGTGCTGCTGAAATTTGAGAGCCCAAAGTCTGCCACAGCTCTACAGCAGGCTTGGGAAATCTGTAGCCCTGATGGACTGGGGGCCCATCAGCCCCGACTAGCATAGCTAATGTAAGGATGTTGGGAGCAACATCTTAATCGGGATGAGGAATCTCCAGCCTGTGTGCCAATCTTGGTCTGCTAGGGGGTCCACTTTGGCCCATGAGGCCAATTCCCAACAAACCACACCCACCTGCCTATCACCCGGCATCACTCAGTGGCATCAGCTCATGGGCAGGGGGCGGAGTCCCATTCAGCCAGTTCAGCAGAATTACAGACCCCTATCTGAATTATCTACTTACCAGTCAATTAAGATCACAGATAGGGCTTGGAGTGTCTAGCACAGGGGTAGCCAACATGGAGCAGTCTAGATGCAGTGGGCTACAACTCCTATCAGCCCCAGCCAGCATAGCTAATAGCCAGGGGAGATGGGAGTTGTAGTCCAATAACCTCTGAAGGGCGGCGGCATGTGGGTTATCTCTGCTGTAGCAAAACTAAGAGCATTTATTTGAAGAGATGGGAGATAAGCCCAGGAGGCTAATGCTACGGGACTTCCAGGTCCAGCTGCCGGATTCACTCTTTGAAGATAACCAATTGATGAGAGCAAGCCAGGGGTCATGTCCGCTTTCAGTTATTAGCTGTAGTTTTCCTGCCTTCATTTGGCTGACAAGTTTGCTCCTGGCATGCCACTCAGCCAACTTCTAATTTCCAACAGCATTTGAGATCTTGCCTATCAAAAGCACAGCACAGGAAGACAGCTGAGACATAAGTGGGGGGAGGGGGAGAAGACGGAGCAGTTCTGTTTAGATGGAGGCCCAGCTTGTATAATTCCTTGTTATGTCCAGAGAGCGCTTGCCACATCCTTAAGCATCTCCTCTGGGATAGAATGGTATCCCTTGTGACCTGCGCGCTTGACCACAAGGATCTAGGCTAGAGCTTGCTGAATGTTTGATGAATTCAAAATACTGGATGGTCCTTTGGAAAGGAATGTCTGTCCTCGGCAACAGTTACCGTACTGTGCTATTTCCAGAGAACAAAAATATTCATGCTTCCCTCTGAAGAAATATGAAGTTATTGGACTTAAATGAATGCTTCTGCCTCCACTACCATAGCATAGAACGGAAATGTGTGTGTGTAAAATGGATGGCACAAGGCTTTTTGAATCCTGAGGCAAGGATGGAACCCATTCACACAAAGGTTTGATGGCTCCTTCACATACAGAAGGAACCATCAAACCTTTGTTACAGGTGTATATAATGTGTAGTTAACACAGCAATCTAAGCTACAGGAAGCCACTGCAATTTATGCTGGGCTAAATTATGTAATTTATCCCTATTCCAAACTCTGTTCAGGAGTGGGGCTAGCCTGGCAGAGGGAAAATAAGGCTTTGCAATAGAATCTGACTTACACCACCATTTTGGTCATTGTAACTTCCCTTGGGTTGCTAGGTCACAAGCTATCGCTGAATGGAGTTTGGAATAGAGGTAAGTTTCCCTCTGTCCCATCCTAGTGTCACCACTCTTCAGGAACACCACATTTTGGGGACTTATGCTGGCCTTGGCTCGGCCACCTTTGCCTCAGCTGCCTGAGCCCTGGCTTAGCTGGGATGGAGGACTTGCGCCAACAGAGCCCCATCTCCACTGGAGATCCACTTATTCAAAACTCTGGTCAGTGAGAGGGTTCGTGGGATTTGATTACTTCCTAAGCCTTCAAAAGCTAGCATATATTACTAGAGCACCAGGCACTATGTTTTACTACTACTTGTAATATTACTACTTAAAATGAACAGACCTGGACCCTGCAATCATCACCTGAGGCCCTCCATGTGCCTCCTCCATGAGAGATCCAGAGGGTGGCAACAGAAGGGCATTTTCTGTGGTGACTCCTCATTTGCAGAATGCTCTCCCCCAGTAAGGCTCACCTGGCACCTTCATTACATATCTTTGGCACCTGGGGAAAAACATTCCTCTTCTCCCAGTCCTCTAATTAAATAATCTATGGCTTTTTAAACTGGGGTGAGGGGTATTGTTTTTGTTTGTTACTATGTTACATATTTTTGTGCTTTTCTACTGTAAACCACCCTGTGATCCTTGGATGAAGGGTGGTATAGTAATAAATAAATGAATAAAATAAAGGGGTTTTGTTTGGTTTTTTTATCGGGTTTTAAGCACACTCCAATGCTCTGTTGTTTGCAACATTACCTAGAAGCTGAGTCCTAGAGAGATAATAATCCTATGACATTTCAGAAAACCATCCAAACAACACAAAGCAAATCATGCACTTTTTTGGTCCAGCCAGGGAAAGCAGAGACTGGTAGAATCCGTTGTGGTCTATTTATTAGGGATGCATCTCTATCACTGTCCATCCATTGCAATTATTAACATGGTTTTCCTCCTATTTCCTTGATAATGCATGCCTACTCAGAAGCAAGTTCAATAGAGGTCAATGGAGCTTACTCCTAGGTAGTGGGATGCCTTAATTTTGCAGTCAGTGGGCCATCTTTCCCCCCATTTTTTGCAATGAAGACTATTTCCCATAGGCATCCAGTCT